GCGAGATGAAGATACCTTGTCTAGAATGAGCCACTTCAATCCTTATAAAATACTTCAATCTCCCCAAATCTTTTATCTCGAATTGTTTGATCAAACATTGTTTCAAGGCTTGCTTCTCCTTCTCATCATTTCCAGTCATAATTATGTCGTCCACATAGACTATCAAGGCCGTGATTTTCCCTGAAACCGAGTGTTTGATGAAAAGAGTGTGATCTCCCTGACTCTGCTTGTATCCTGTAGCTAACATCACCTTAGTAAATCTCCCAAACCAGGCACGGGGCGATTGTTTTAAACCGTATTAGGCCTTCCTTAACTTGCATACCTTGTTCCCTTCAACTCCTCCAAATCTTGGCGGGATGCTCAAATAGATTTCTTCTTCCAGGTCACCATGTAGAAAGGCGTTCTTCACATCGTACTGCTGTAATTCCCCGTTAAAATTGGCTGCTAATGATAACAAGATCCTCACAGTGTTCATTTTTGCAACTGGAGCGAAGGTCTGTTGGTAATCAACTCCATAAGTCTAAGTGTACCCCTTAGCAACTAGCTGTGCTTTGTAGTGCTCTAACGATCCATCAACCTTATATTTCAAGGTAAAAACCCACTTACACCCTACTGCCTTCTTTCCTTTTGGTAGATCAACTACCTGCCACTTCCCATTTTTTTCCAATGCGGCCATCTCAACTCTCATTGCTTTCCTCCATTCTTCATTGGATAATGCCTCAGATAAAGTGTTTGGAATAGAGATTTCATTTAGACTCGTGAGAAAACTCCTATGGGTTGGTGAGAATTTCTTGAAGGATACATAATGAGATAGAGGGTATATAGGTCGTTTGGTACACTCTCGAGTTCCTTTTCTCATGGCTATGGGCAAATCTTGGTCAGTTATTTGAGGTCCAGGGAGCCTGTGTTCTATAAGTGGAGTAGGTTCAGATACCGTTACCTCATTCTCAGGAGTCAGGTTGGAGGTTTGGCCTGCATCGGATCAGGAGCTGGTCCTTGGTTCCTCGAGTACACCTTCCCTTTCCCATACCGTACGTGATCAAGAGTCATATTATCCTTCACAGGAGACATAGGTGACAAAACAGGAGATTCAGGCTCAGGTACTGAGTTGGATTGAGTGTTTGATACAGGTAAGAGAGATGGTGAACGAGACGAAGACGGTAAAGCGAGCTGGAAAAAATCCTCATCTTCCATGATAGATGACTCTCCCTGAAGATAAGGTTCAGTAAAATAAGGTTTCCCTTCCGCAAATGTGACACCAGCTGAGATATAGAGTTTCCTGGTAGGAGGATGAAAACATTTGTAACCCTTTTTTGTGGACGAGTATCCTACAAAGACACACTTAATGGCTCTAGGATCTAATTTACCTCGGTTGTTGCTATGGACATGAACAAATGAAGTGTTCCCAAATATTCTAGGGGTAAGGTTGTTTGTGGCACTAAGGTCGGGTTAGAATTTAGAAAGGGCTTCCATTGGACTTCTTGACCCTAAAGCCCATGAAGGAAGTCTGTTTATGATTAGGCAGATGTAAGTATTGCTTCTCCCCAATAGTGTTTTGGTACATTTTGATGAAACAAGAGTGCTCAAGTAGTGTTTAGGAGATGACCGTTTTTCCTTTCGGCTGCTCCGTTTTGTTGTGGAGTATTATTGCAAGATGACTCATGAATAATTCCTTCCTTTTGAAAGAAGGGTGACAAGACTTGATTGAAGTAATCCCTCGCATTATCAGACCTAAGCCTCTTTATTTTGGTACCAAACTGATTGCGGATCATTGTATGGAAATTGAGAAAGATATTACTCATATCTAATTTGTTTTTGAGTAAAAAGATCCAAGAGACTCTAGTGCAATCATCAATAAAGGACACAAACCATCGTGAACCAGAAACATTTGGGACTGTGGAGGGTCCGCAAATATCACTGTGAATTAAATAGAAAGGGGAGGAACTTCTTTTATTGCTAATGGAAAAAGCTACACGAGTGTGTTTTGCAGACTCACAAATATCACAATGAAATGTTCCAATATTTAATCCCTTAACAAAGAAGGAGACATGATTTTTAGAATTGCAAAAGAAGGATGTCTGAGACAAAAATGATGCAACCATATGACATCTTTATTGGAAGAAGAGAGAATCGAAGAGGATAAATTTGTCCTGATCATACTCGGAAGGCTCGGTGTCTCAAGGTAGTAAAGTCCTTCCTTTTCTTTAGCACGTCCAATCCTCCTCCCTGAATCCTGGTCCTGAAATTCACTGTAAGAGGGATAAAATGTAACATGACAATGTAAGTCTCTAGTAAGCTTTTGAATGGACACAAGGTTAGCGGACAATTTAGGAACATGTAGAACATTTTTAAGAACAAGACTAGGGGTGAGATGGATATCTCCTACACCAGCAACCGTGGTTGTGGTTCCATCAGCAACAGTGATTTTCCTATTGCTAGGACATGGGGTGTAAGTGCTGAACTGGTTTGAGGCATGTGTCGTGTGGTATGTGGCTCCCGAGTCAATGAACTATGAATCCACAAACAATTTATCAGAAACATTTAATCCAAGGGAGAATAAAGACTCACCTGAGAGGGCTAAAGAACAAGCACCAGAAGATGGTTTGTCAAGGTTCCCAGCAGGTTTCTTAACTTCTCTATTGCTTAACCGTTGAATCCTGCATATTCTTTTGTCTGGTCCTGACCCACCTGTGAGGTCATATGGGCTTGTCCTTGTTGTTGTTGCTGCTGTCCTCCTTTGTTTCCCCATTCTCGGCTGGATGTGGGTGGTTTCCCGTTTAATTTCCAGCAACGATACCTGGTATGCTGCGATTTTTTACAGTATGCACACCAGAGATTGTCTCAGTTTGCCCCCTTTGATAATCCGCCTTTTCATGTTTAGCATCTTGCGGTTGTTCTAGAGTGAGACCCCGCTTGTTGTCACCAGAGGCTACGAGTGCTGAGCTGTCAATCGACTGAGGTTCAATCATGATTCCTCTCCGACTCTCTTCAGCCTGAATCAATGAAATCACCTCATTAAGAGATGGTACCTCCTCCTTGCCCAAAATTTGAATTTTGACTTGATCAAATTCAGAGTTTAGGCCAGCGAGAAAATCATAAACCCGATTTTTTTCAATGAATTTTTGATAATTACAGCGTATTCGCTGCACTTCAAATCAATCACCAGGTAGTAATCCAGTTCTTGCCCCTAGTTTTGCAGAAAATTGGCATACTCAGTCACGGACTTGTTCCCTTGTTTTGTAGACGCTGTCTTTGTCTTGATCTCGTATACTTGCGCCGCATCATGAACCTTGGAGTAAGTCTAGTTGAGAGTGTCCCAGATGGCCTTCGCAGTTGGTAGGAACATGCATGTATCGCTGATTTCGGATGTCATGGAATTCCACAACCAGGACATTACCATTGAGTACTCCTCGTCCCACGCTTCGAAACCTGCGTCACCTTTCTTTGGTCCCGTTCCCAGCAAGTGACTTAATTTCCCTTTTCCTTTCAGAAAAGTTCGAACCAATTGATACCATTTCAAGTAGTTTCTTCCATTAAGTCAGTACGCCTGTTGAATATTCTGCAGTTCACTTGTGGAGCGTTGAACCTGCTCTTCCTAGGGTGATTGGGATGATTGAAGAGTAATTTCTGACATTCTTCAACAATCGGCTATGTAGGCCGGACAGAAGGGTTATGCGAAAATTGGCAAAGGAAATTGCCAAAGAATGACTACGATGAAGGCAAGTCACCGAGAAAATTGGCTATGAAGGCCTGAACAGAAAAAAAAAAAAAAAAAAAAAAAAAAAACGCTGATTTTTCTTTTTCAGGAAATCCAAGCCTTACGGCTCTGATACCATGTGGAGAAATGAATTCAATTATATTGAATCTGTGTATTGTTACAAGAGCCTCTGTTGGGCTATATATTAGAAATTACAGAGAGAAAAATAGCAACTAACTAAATTTGGAAACCCTATAATCGGTAATCCCTGATTCTCTATCAATCAAATCCCTAAAATCTAGGAAACAAATATTTACACGATTCTAGTGCTAACCTACCACTAATCAAGGAGACTAACTTGTATTTTTCCACACACAATTGCGAAAGATTAGGTAGAGAGAGTGAAGTTAATAGAACAAAGAAAGTAGCTTCAAACTCGGATCAGTCATAAGACTACTGATCTAAATTGGAGATAATTTAAAGTAAAATAAAATAAACGAGATGACAAGTCGAAGCTTTCAACTCTCTAATTTGAATACCTGTATACAACAATGTCGTTGAAAGTCAGAAATAATAATACGAGCTGGAGAAGAAAATGTTGTAGAAGTGGAGTAAAGAGTTCTCACTGATGTGCTTTAAGATGGGACTCAAATGTCTTTTTTATTTTCTTCTTTAAAATGTCAAGGTTATTTTCTATATTATGAAAGTTTCACTTATGTTATCCTTTTACTCCAAATTTTCCCACTTTTGGAGGATAGCAAAGGAGAGATTTGGAGGGTTGGAGAGATTTGGAGGGTTAAGCTATCCCTCCAAATATCTCCTTATCCTTTAATTTGTCTTCTCAATTGCAAGCCAAACATGGAAAATCACTACCCCTCTCTTTTTTTTTTTTTCATTTCCTTCCCCCCCCCCCCCCCCCCCCCCCCCCCCCTCTCCTTTTTTTGTTGTGTTTGTTTTGTTTTTTTTATTTTTTTATTTTTTATTTTTATATATCTTTGTTTGACCCATTTAGATATTTTCACTTTAGAATGTTGAGTTAATAGTTTTTTTAGTTTCATGTGTGGGATTTTAGCTATTGATGTTGCTGCTGTTCTTGTTGCTAATATTATTATTGTAGTTGTTATTGTAGGAGTGCTGTTATTGATGTTGTTTTTATTATTATAATATTATTAGTATTTGGCAGAAATCGGTATATACATAGTGAAAGGTTGCTGTCATCTTTGGATCAAGTATTTTTGTCTTGTGATATATTTCTTCTTAATTTTATCTAATGATTTCTTTTACATATTGTGTGTACTGACAGACTGGAAAAAGCACTTTCGTTGAGCATCGTACATTTCTTCACTTATATCGAAGTTTTCATCGTATGTGGATATTTTTGGTTGTGATGTTCCAGGTCAGTTTGGTGCTCTTTATATTATTTACGCATTTAAATCTTGAATGGAAGCTGTTCCTTGCTAACTGAATTCAAGGGTTTTTTTTTTTTTTTTTTTTTTTTTTTTTGTGTTATCTTCTTCATATTTCAGGCATTGACAATTGTAGCCTTCAATAAAGGAAAAATAAATCTGAATACTTTTAAGACCGTACTTAGTATTGGACCAACTTTTGCCATCATGAACTTCATTGAGAGTGAGTTGTCTTTGTTTCACAATCTCATTTTGTGCTCATAACTTCTATTTATCTTTCAGTTGTCACACGTTTCTTTCCTCTTATTTTAATGTTTCCTCCTTTTTTTCATTGGGTAATGCTGCTATCCATGTAGGTTGTTTGGATGTTCTGCTTATGTTTGGGGCTTATACCACAGCGAGAGGCATGGCTATCTCCAGGATGGTTATTAGGTTCTTCTGGTTTGGCTTGAGCTCTGTGTTTGTGACATATATATATGTGTGAGTCTAAAATCTTCTTCCTATTTGTTCTTTCTTTCCCTTTTTGTTTTCTTTAACATGCTTCTAGTTGAATACTTTTTTACTGTTCAGATATGCTTACATACTACCCAAAATGAATTTCCAGGAAAGTTTTGCAGGAAAGAAATAAACAGTTCTCAGATTCATTCTATTTTCGGATTTATGTTATTGTACTGGGTGTTTATGCTGCTGTGCGCCTAGTCTTTGCATTGTTACTTAAGTTTCCGGCTTGTCATTCACTGTCTAGAATGTCTGATCAATCATTCTTTCAATTTTTCAAGTGGATTTATCAGGTATTTATTATTCTATGTCAACTTTGAAAATATTGTCTGGACAATGCATGTATTATCTTGAATGTTTATGTTATAAACTGTGGTTGTTTTCAGGAGCGATACTTTGTTGGCCGCGGTCTTTTTGAAAAGACTCGTGATTATTTGAGGTTTGTTGTCATTTAACTGGAATTGAGTAGTTTGTTATTAGTGTTCTTTTGTTATTGTTGCGATACATTTGTTTTACTAGTAATAGTTTTTTTTCCCTATGTTGGAATCATTTATTCTGTCACTTCTTTATCAGTCTTGTCTGCTATCTGATGCTGTATCGTTTATCTCACATATAGATTCTCTTCTCCCGTCATAATCGCCTTTTGTACTATTTATCATGGTATTAAATTAATGAGTTATATTGAAGATATAATGGAGGAATAAGTGGAGGAAAATCCTCCGGTAATTGTTGTTGTTTCTTATTATGGAAGATTTAATGTTACCAGAGGAATCTGTGTAGAAAACTCGTCTTTGTTTCCTATTTTCTATCTCTTTCCGTTCTCATCATTTCTTCTCCTGTATAGAGGAGCCTTCACCATTGTATTGAGTATGGAAAGAGGGAATATTATAAAAATGATGTATTCCTTTGGGCTCTTTGTGCCATGGATGTAGGCCCTAGTGGCTGAACCCGTAATAGTTGTGTGTTCTACTCGTTTAATTTCTCTCTTCACATATATTTTATGCTTTACAACATGGTATCAGAGCCTAATTTCTCTTTCTAAGTTCGGACCCCTATTTTAGGGTATTCCCTTAGCATCTGAAATGTTGTTGAGGGTTTCTTGGTGCTATTTGTGACTTATTTGGGTCAGCCAGTGTATTCGGTTGCATTATTTTTCGCCTTTCCCGTGTCTCCAATAGTTTTTTATTGAATTGTTTGGGCTGCTAGTGTGTTCGGTAGCATTGTTCTTCGCCTTTGCCGCGTCTCCGGCAACTTTTTGTTGACTTGATTAGGCTGCCGTTGTGTTTGGTAGCTTTGTTCTTCGCATTTGCGTGTCTTCGGCAGTTTTTGTTGACGTGTTTGGGTTGCTGTGGTGTTCGGTAGCATTATCCTTCGCTTTCTCTCTTCTCTCTTCATCATTCTCACTTGCTGATACTCGTCATCTCCATGGCAAGTTGGGCATTCATGCTTGAACTCGAGGAGAAGTATTAAAGATTTAATGGAGGAATCAGAGGAAAGTCCTCCCGTAATTGATGTTGTTTTATATTATTAAAGATTTACTGTTACTAGAGGAATTAGTGGAGAAAAATCCTCCTTGTTTCCTAATTGTTTTCTCTTTCCATTCTCATCATTTCTTCTCTAATATAGAGGAGCCTACACCATTTTATTGAGTATGAAAAGAGAGAATATTATAAAATTTTAATTGATGTAGCCCTTTGGGCTCTTTATATCGTGGATGTAGGCCTTAGTGGCTGAATCGCGTAATAGTTGTTTGTTCTACTTGTTTAAAACATTGGGAGAGTGATTGTATGACTTGTACGAAAGAATGAAGTGACAAAAAAATCTATTTTGAATGAGGAAGTCAACCTTGGAGTCTATTTTTTGTTGGGAAGACTATTGGAAAGTTATAGCTATAGCAAAAAGTGAACATCTTCATTATTTTGGCTCAATGTTCACAATGAATGAGAAATTGGTGATGATGTTAATCATAGTGTCAAGACTTGATTAGTTAGACTGTGGGGTGCATCTAGTTGTTCAGGAATTATTAGGTGGTCTTGGACCATGTGGTCCTGGCCAATTAGTAGATGTGATGCAGTAAAAAAACTAAATAAAGTTGACACATTTGGTTGCATGGCATCTCTTGATTGGCCCGGACCACCAAATAATATCTCCTAGTTATTGCGTGATTGGTGTATTCTTCTTATAGGATTGAATGAGAAGTTCTATGAAATATCTATTAGTGTAGCCATTTATTGGACAGAATGTTCTGTAAGAAACAACATATGCGTAAATGTGTGGCAGATATGCAAAGTTGAGAGGATGTGCGTGCGGTAAGTAAAAAAAATGATAATGGTTGATATTAACACATATTAGTGACGTAATGATCACATTTCAAAACTAAAAGACTTTCCAAAGTTTTACCATTTTTAATATTTAGGGTTAATGACGTAACGATCACCTTTCAAAACCAAAAGATTATCCAAAGTGTGTCTAGTGACCATTTTTAATATTTAGGGTTAGTAATACAAAATGATGGTGAATAGATGGATATATGATTAGTAAAATTGGTGCTGAGTGGATAATACGGAGGCAAGTGAGTGGTGTTTTATGTGAAAATTTTATATGACAGTCATTAGACCAAGTAATTTATATGGCTCATTGTTTTGGGCATTAAAGGCACGCCTTGGCTCTAGGCTCATACAGGTGCAACACTTGCGCCCGTTGTGTGCCCAGGTGCGCTTTTGACAACATTTGCGCATTTAATATAAGAATATGAATATGCTTTGATATGAATTTAATTTTCAATTGTGCGCCTTGCTTCACTTTGGCGAGCGCCTCGCCTTGCTCCTTGTGTCTTGGCTCCCAAGGACGTCTAGCGCCTTAGTGCGCCTAGTGCCTTTGATATCACTGTGGATGATAATGAGTGACTAGAAAGACTGGTTACAAACCAAAATGTGAGGGAAAAATTTGGTGTGCCCCCTAGTAGTGAAAGATAAGAGAGAGTTGATTTATGTGGTATCATTGATAGTTCTGAGATATACCTAGAAGACCTATAGAATCACCGGTATGAAGAGGAAGACTTTGCAAGGAAGTAGGAGACAGAGATGGTGGCTGAATTTAATATGGGATGAAATTATTAGAAATGACTTAAAAAGTTAAATGTGATTCAGGAGATGGTTTGTAATAGGAAATATTGGAAAAAGGAAATTCATGTGGCAGATGCCATTCATATGGGGCCTGTTTGGCTGAGCTTCCTGTAGCCTCAAAACGGGCTTCTAAGCCCAGAAAGTCTTTTGCCAATAATAAAGAGTTTTTGGTAAAATTTATGATTAAAAAGTGTCAGTGGTTTAAAAGCCCGATTGACCAAAGCTAATAGAACATACTTCCTAATCGACTTCCCGCAAAGCTACACACTTTTTTAAGTAATAAATATAAAATTCCTATATTGTCCATTATTTAACCTATTTCTATTTATGAATTTAATTGCAAATTTTTATCTTTCTATTTCTGTATCATCTTCTTCCTTCATTCTCTACCCAAAAAATAAAAAAAATAATGTTGAGCAAAATTTTACAGAACTTTATTGAAAAAGATATTGTTGAAAAACGATTCAACAAAGGAAGAACAAAAAGATTGAGGAGTTGCAGGAAAAAATACTATTGACTCCTATTTGACTTCAAAGTCTGAAGAGTTCTAAAATTTATGAACTCTCATTCAAAATTCAATCTTATGTAGAATTATAAATATTTTTTCTTTCTCTTGAAAAAAAAAAAAAAATTTATATGTATATATATACACACACACACATTATATATTATATATATATATATATATATATTTTTTTTTTTTCTTTTTTGTAGGCTTGTTCCGTTAGGTTTATTTTTCTTTCCTTTTCTTTTTCCATCTCTTTCAACTTCTATCATATAGTCAACAAAAAAAAAATTCGATCATGTAGATTGGGTTAAATTTGTATATTCAGATCTTCACTATACCAATTAATCGTTGCTACATCATTAACAATTCAACTCCATCGCTTTAATTATGATTTTTTTTTTCTTCCCTTCTTTGAACATTCCAATTCAACTCTTTATTATTATTCATGGTTTATTAAGGATATAATTGTCAAGTTAAATTATGTTAATAGTTAAAAGAGCTTCAAAAAATTTACCCACCAAACAACTTTTTTATTTTAAATTTCTTTCATCAAAATGCATTCTTCAAAGACGATTCAGTGGAAGGAATTTTAGAAACTGAAAGCTCCCCCAAGCAGGGCCATGGTATTTAGGCAATTATGATGATGTTGATATAAGTATTGCCTAGCATGAGCTTTTTTTTGTGATTTGGAAGCTTGCTTTAGAACAACAATTTGCTTGATTCACTTGAATAACTTTTAAAAAGAAAGGAAACGCAGTTCAATTGATGCAATTTGTGCCCTGTGGTTGTGAGTTCTATTTACCAAGTCTTCCATAGTGCTGAATCTTATTTTTATATCACTCATAAATTATATGTACAGCTTTGAGCACCTTCTAATTCATATTTACTTATAAAAATGAAATTAAATTATATGTACAGCATATATATTGTTTTTTACCAGCTACATAATTTTCGAAATAAACGTTATTTCTTTTTAAATTTAGAAATCTGATGACAAATATAAAAGATATATTCTTGACTGTTTTTTATTCATTTTTTTATCTTTTTTATGGTCTTTTAAGAAAAGTGCATTATTAGCATTATGAAAGTTAAATTTCTTCTATTTTGTGTATTATTACATTAGGTATGTGCTGTACTGGTTGGTGATTTTTGCATGCAAATTTACTTTCGCCTACTTTCTCCAGGTACGCCATAATTTCCTAATCTTGAATCTATTCTCTGGTTTTATGAACGTGTAGGGTCAGGACTAGAGGCATTTGACATAATTTATGCAATGTATTATTATGCAGATTAAGCCACTTGTCGAACCCACCAATATTATTGTGGACCTTTCTTCACTGAAATACTCATGGCATGATTTGATCTCGGAGAGTAAGCTTAGTTGAATCTGTTTATTTTTTTTGTCTGCTTGCATATTGCTTTATCACTTCTTGTGTGTTTTGGAGCCATACGTGAAGCAATTTTACTAAAGCCTAATGTTTTCTGGTGTATCTGGTTAGTTGCCTTTTTAAAGTGAGTCAAGAAGTTCCTAGCTCTAATGAATGACTTAAAGTCAATAATTTGAACTCCATTAGACATAACAAAATTATACCGTGGAAAAATGATCTCAGCAAGTCTATTCCGTCTATTCAGCGTTGGCTTTGTGGATGCATCTTCTCCAGGTGACTCTGTATAAGTGTCATTTTCTCTTTGAAATCCTGGCCAAATAGTCATCTTTCATGGCCGCATCTCACATTCTTTTTTTCTTTCCGCTTAAAGAGTCTTGCCTATTTTGCACCATCTGCAAAATTACCATGTAACAATCATATAGTTCATAATTCCCACCTCTTGAAAATCCACCTTCTTCATGTTCTTCCTTTTTCTTTTTCTTTTTATCCACATACTCTAGATGTTTGTAAAGAGAGGATATTTTAATTTAAAGAATAAAGAACTTTGCGACAGGACTGGGTTTTTCATAGGATCATTGTTGTCAGAAATAGAGTGTGCTGTTGGGTCGGTTAATGATCTGGTGACTCCTATCTTGCTGTTGAGAAAGGTCTGGATTCAAACCCATATGGACTCTATTACGGATGCATTAAATTTCTATAGCTGCAGCGACCACTAGTGCAGCAAACTAATTGCTAGTATTTTTTTCCCATCATAATTATTGCATGTAGATTGTGAATGTCTCAGGGTTGAGCACATTCCTAGAATTAGAAGGAATTTAACACTTAAAATTAATGCCAGACAACTAAAGATGAATGGAAGTCTAATAGTGGAGATCAAAGCACAGATTGAAGAGTGGATCGCAGATGGAGCGAATTCATTGATAGACCAAATTGGGTGTGCTTAGGTGGTTCTAGGATTAGAATTTGATACATACGGTTGTTTACCTCTTTTATTTTTTATTGTCTGATAGTGATTTTTTATTTTTTATTTTTTTACTAGGTCCCGTGTCTTTCTCCCTTAGGAGGCTTTTTTACCTAATTTTTTTTAATGTTTTTGTGTGGATTATCCATGGTTTTTAGGCTTTCTTTTCTGCTCCGTGTTTGTTTTTACTTGAGTTTTAGTTATTCAATTTAGTTTTATTTTAATTTCCTTAAAAAGTATGTTATTTCTCTTTAAAGACCTATTAGCCCCCTCTTGGCCTTGCTTAAAGGCCGGACAATCGGAGACTCTGGTTATGATCCTATCCCTCAGTTTATGCCACACAATATTCCCACTTTGAATGTTAGTAGTGTGACAACATTGTCTTGCATTTACATGAGATGCCTTGTGAGCTGTTGAAACAGTGTTGGATTTGGTAATACACTAGAGATGTGTCACAATAAGCGCCAAAGTTATCTTGTTTTTTGTATTTCTGTGCTTCAAAATCGTCTTGAACACTGACTGGATCTTTTGTTTGTCTTTGAATCTGGTGTCCTTTATTGATGAAGTACTATGACTTGTTTTGAATGTCCATGCGCCTAATCTATTGAATGTTCTTTTCCATTCTCGTAAACTCCGTGAATAGAAATCTTTTTCTTCTTGCAATTGATAAATATGGTCAATGCTGGAAAACGGATGGGGTTTAACCAGATTTTCACCTTCTCCCGAAGGTGCCGATCTCTTACTAATCCGTTTTCTAGTTGGAAATGCCTCGCTTACAGGCAAAACATAAGAGTGAGTAATCTTGGGATCAGGTCAACCTTTGGAGAAATATGTGTTAATAGGACTAGTCCAGTGGACGAGGGTCATGCCTTATGTTTAGCATAATTGGGAACTGGGAAGCTTTGATCATAAGTGCAGATAAGTTTCTCTCTGTTTCGTTTTTGGTAAAGTCACCAGAGCCTAGCATTGTACATAGGAGGATTTTTATTCATTTATTTCCTAGTTGGTACTCACAAACCCCCCCTCCAAGGAATTGTTTCCACCTAGCAGGAATCGATACTGAGACTTGATGCTTCATGAGGCACCAAAGCGCAAGTCTTTTCCAACTTGGCCAAACTTCCTCCTAAGTTTCCATAGGAGGAAACTTCTTTTAATGCCCTCTTCTTCTTGCAATTATGTGGGAAAGTTGATTTTTTTTTGTATAAATTCTTTGATTTTATTCATCTTAAATTTTCTTTAAGCATTGCAATTTTGTTGATTTTAATAAAAAAAAGAATGACTTATTGGTGTGGGACATCTTATTTGTAAGAAAAGTTTGTTTTAACCTTCCTTTTAGCTGAATTCTCCTCCCTTTCATTTAGCTTTGGGGTTGTTGCCTGTCATAATTGTTTATAAAAAAACCAGCTTATTACAGATGGAAATCTTATTTGTAAGAAAGTTTGTTTGAACCTTCCTTTCAGCTGGAATATGTTTCTTATCTATTCTTGTAATATCTTTGGCAGACAATCATAACACATTGACTATAGCTAGCCTGTGGGCTCCTGTTGTGGCTGTGAGTATTTTCTTTATCGACTCTCTTCATAAATCTTGGTATTGTTTCTACGTTGCCTGCTAAGAAAGAAGTTAAATAATAGGATAGTGATTTTTTAAAAGTTCCATTGGTTCTGGCTTTAGAAATTTTATTGGGGTTGTTGCATTCTGCTGAAATTATCAAGGTAGATATTAGATTTATAGCTCATCAGTTAATGTGCTTGATCTCTCTCTCTCTCTCTCTCTCTCTCCAGTTACTTCTTTTGATCTGATGACATCATAGAACTTGAAACCTTGTGGTAAAGTTTGTATAATTAGTGCCTAACAAGAAAGATGATATCTCAGATTCATAATGTTTCATTGTGATGACTAGGGTGACTTTAATCTATTATTTATCGTAACTGCAATTAGCATTAGTTATTTGAAATATTTCATCGGTATTGAATGTTAATTTGATTGGTAATTGCTTTTCTTTTTTGTTTCCAATTCTCCAGATATATATCATGGACATTCACATATGGTATACTCTCTTATCTGCCATTATTGGTGGTGTTATGGGTGCACGGGCTCGGTTAGGCGAGGTATAAGGAAAACCATTATCCGTTTTGAATTTTTGATTTTTTTTTTTCCTTTTGGAAGAGTTAGGTGTCTTTTGTATCTGTCTTCTCGCATTCTTCTTTTAGTCTAGACTTGTATGCTATCTAATCTCATCTCCATGTAAATTTACTTATCCTATTCGATTTGATAATCCCTCAGATTTCCTATATTTCAACTCAAATCCAGATCTGTTTATCGACATATCTTCAAAGTGAGAACAGGTTCAGAATGATTTAAATAATGATTTTTCTTGCAGAGTTTGCCAGTATAGCGAATTACATAATCAGCCTGTCCAAAAATTGCTTAATATTGATATAAACATTCCTTGAAATCCATATAACGTCACAATCCTGGATTTTATCTAGCTTGGCTTCAAAAACACCAAATTATCTTAAAAATCAATTTGAACCTTGGAATTTGTCCGAAGATAAAATACTATTTAAACTCTCATATAGATTGATCTTGCACTTTGATTGGATCTTAGAGGAGGACAAAGACGGGTTGGATAGACCTCTCGTGAGGAAGTGCTGACGGTGCTGAAGAGTTGCAATGGGGACAAAGCTCCTAGTTCGGACTGTTTTATGCTGAGATTTCTTCCGGAGAGTTAGGAGGTGGTTAAGGATGAGGTGATGGGCTCCTTTCATGCATTTCATTCCAGGGCGCATTGAGAAATGGTTGAATGCTTCTTTTACTGCCGTCATCCCCAGGAAGGGTGGAACTTTTGATGTTAAAGGACTTCAGACCTATTAGTTTGGTGGGCTACATATACAAACTAATAAAAGCTAAGGTTCTAGCGCTGAAGTTGAAGGATATTTTTGATGGAGTGATTTTGGCATTCCAAAATGCTTTTATTGGTGATCGGCACATTGTTAACTTAGCTCTCATCGCCATTGAGTGCGTGTATTCTAGGCTGAGCAGTGGTGCTCCAGGAGTTCTTTGTAAGCTCAATATTGAGAAAGCTTACGATCATGTCACTTGGAGCTTTTTGCTTCATCTGTTGGAGAGGATGGGTTTTGGGTATAGATGGAGGAAGTGGATTGAGTTATGCATTTCTTTAGTGAGATTCTTTGTTTTTGTGAATGGGTCCCCAATTGGTTTTTTCAGCAGCTCGCATGGCTTGAGTATGGGCAATCCCCTTTCTCTCTTTTTGTTCATTATTGTTTTTGAGGCTCTAAGTAGTCTGATTCAGCCCATCAGTTGGAGATCTCCCGGGTGCTATATGCGGATGATACCCAACTTAGATTTTTTAGGTGTGTTTTGATTTGCTTTAAGGTAGTCTCTAGCCTGAAAGTTAATGTAGGGAAGAGTGCGTTGTTTCCTGCGGGGAAGGTTCCAGAGATTTATTCCCTGGATGATGTTCTTAGGTGTGGGGGTTCGCTCTTTTCCTATTTCGTATCTGGGATTGCCTTCGGGTTGCCGTCGAGAAGAATGGGTGTATGGGATCTTGTGGCGGATAGGTTCGGGAGGAGACTTGTAGGTTGGAAGAATTTGTGTCTTTCAAAGGGTGGGAAGGTCACCTTGTTGAAGAGCACTCGACATTTCAAAGGGTAGGAAGGTCACCATGTTGAAGATTACGCTTTCAAGTCTTCCTACCTATTTTGTCTCCTTTGCAGATTCATTTCTCGGTGTTCAGGAGGATTGAGAGTCTTCAGCGGAATTTCTAACGGGCGGCTTAGGGGAGGAGTTCAAGTACCGTCTTGTTTGATGAGAGCAGGTGTGTAGGCTGATGTAATGGGTTGGTGTGGGGATTAGGAAGTTGATGCAAGACAAAGAGAACAAAGAGTATTTCTGGAGAAAACTTGTCTACCTTTCCCTTCGGGATACTTCCTTTATATAATAATATTTACTATTCTATACAAGGAATGCTTACAACAATCATATCCCAAGATTTTGGGTATCCACAAATAATATTCCTAACTACAAGCAGTTTGTAAATAATCTAAATTGTAATGGAATCCCTAATTATAAGCTATCTTAGAACTCATCAAATCATCTAATTTTGGTATGCAGATCACCTCCTTTGATACTCCTCCTCAAATTGATGTTGGTGAATTCACAAGCATACATTTGTCAACTAAGAACTGGTGACGAGTCTTTGTCAAGGCTTTAGTGAAAATATCTGCATTTTGGAAATCTGTTGACATATGAGGCAAAGTAATGAGATGATTAACATAGGCTTCCCTAATGTAGTGACAATCGACCTCTATGTGTTTAGTCAATTCATGAGATACTGGATTTTCTGTAATCCGTATGGCACTTGTGTTATCAGCATGTAGAGAAGTAGGATTTAATTGAGGGAAACCTAATTCAGATAGGAGACGACGCCGCTAAATGATTTCAGAACAGACAGAAAACATGGCTTGATATTCTGCCTCAGTAGAAGATTTTGAAACTCGTTATTGTTTCTTGCGTTTCCATGACACAAGGGAGCCATTGAGATACATGCACCACTACATTGTAGATCGATGTGAATCAGGACAACCTTCCCCGTCAGCATCACTATAAGCTGTAAGTTGGAGAGATGAACCAGTTTTATAAAATAGCCCATGCTCTGGAGTACCGAGTAAATAGCGAATAATCCGTTTGACAGCAGCAAGGTGATGATGTCGAGGTTGATGCATAAACTAACTCATCAAATTAACTGCATAAGAAATATCTGGTCTAGTGATTGTCAAATAAACCAAGCTCCCAACCAGTCGCCTATATGTCGTAGGATCAGAGAGTAGTTGGCCTTCATCTTTTTTATACTTGACATTAATTTCAAGTGGAGTATCTACTCGAGTTGAGTGCTCGAGTCCAGTCAAAGCAATCAGATCTTTGGCATATTTGTACTGACAAATATCATCATGAGAACTGGAAAGGCAACAATAGTAGGGTTTATTTTTGTCTTTCCTTGCTCGATTTTTCTCATTAAATAAAGTTTTCAATAGCTGGATGGTACAAGTGACATTTCTCTGAAGTGTTAAGCGGCCGGTTGTTGTGTTATTGGTCAGTAGGGGTCTCTCTATAGTAAAATAAAATTTGATGTCTCTGTGAAATATTGAGAAATGTCAGCTGTGCTTATTCAAAACACTTCAAATCGTCTAAATACGGCAATGGATGTTCTAAAGCATGAATGTATTGTGGTTTACAAAACCCTAATTTGCCTCATTTGAATTTGCATTTTTCCAAAAATATTAATCAAAATATCAATTTGCATCATTTCTGCAGACACAATATTCTTTTTTAACTATAGATGTGCTTTTTATACTGCAATCAGGACCGCAACTTCGGAAGCAAACACCTAGCATAATAATGCATAGAAAGTAATTTGCCTGATGTTTCCAGGATTTTGACCAACTTCATATCCTTCGCACATAAGTGTATTCTTGGGACACATTGCCCTTTTGAATGCTTTCTAATACATCCTTACTTATCAAAAAAAAAAAAAAAAAATCCTTAACACTTTTTTTTTGGTCAAAGGGGTCGTATTTGTTTTGGTTTGTAATAATGGAATACTTTCATTATCTATAACAAAGAACATTTCCACCCAAAATTAGTCCAGTACCTTTCAATGCTTAATTGCATAGGCTGAGAGGGACAGGTGGCTCTAGCGTTTACTGGGGAACCCTAAATCATTGGTTTTATGTAGCTTTAATGGAACTATTTGATTCATAAACAACAATGTCCCTAATGGTAATTCGATTTTGTTTATACACCAATCTGCATGGTTAAGGCTATTTTCTTTTAATTCTTCTGATCGGATCAGGTCCCTCAATTATTGTTTCTAAATAATGGATTCAGAATATTACTTGGTTATCGGATCAGACTCCTTCACTATATCTATACTACCACATTGGGTTCAGATAAAATTATTCATTAAATGGCCAATTATGGTCTTTCGTTGACTTTCTAATTCATGTTCTTCTCATTCCAATATGTATGGTTGAGTTTTGGCAGATACGTTCAATTGAAATGGTGCATAAACGCTTTGAGAGCTTTCCAGGAGTCTTTGTCAAGAATCTTGTGTCTTCAGAAACAAAAAGGTTACTATCTTTTTTTCCCTTTATGTTATCAGTACATCGATTTTGCCATTTATTAAACTTTGTACAGTGCTTTCGAAGACTGAATTCCCAATGAAGTTTGTGAATCCTTTTAAATGAAGTCCTGATGGGGCTTGCTATTATCTGTTAGTTCAAGATGATTAACTAGTTGTAACGATAATTCTGTGTGTGTTTATTGTTATGTAATGCATCCTTAGTGTCTCTTATGAAGTTCTGGAAGAAAGACATGATGGCGATTAATTTAATGGAGGATGTGTAGTGAATAAACGGTTTCCATACGTGGGGCAATGTTGTTAGATGAGACTTTAGTTGGTTGAGTAAAAGAATGTCAATTTCCTTGGATCAAGCTTTAAAGCATGGCAAAAAGTAAGCAACAAGAAGACTTAGACACTTATAATAAATTTAAATGTGGACGATGCTTCTGATTCATGGGTGTGGGTTCCTTCTTCCCAGGGTTGTTTTGGTGTTCGGTCTTTCTACAGGTGCATTACGGAATCCCATGGGGAGTCTTTCCCATGAAAGGCTATTTGGAGATCCAAGGCCCCTCTCAAAGTGGCTTTTTTTGCGTGTACTTTGGTGTTTGGGAAGATCTTAACCCAGGACAACTTAGGAAGGAGAAGACAGGTAGTGGTCAATTGGTGTTACATGTGTAAGAGAGATGGGGAAACGGTTGATCACCTTCTTCTGCATTGCCCCGTGGCTTTGGATTGATGGGTCTTACTGTTGATTTTGTTTGGGGTTCAGTGGGTTATGCTTAGATCCCCCAGAAATTTGATTGAGGCTTGGCGAGGTTGTATAGTGGGGGCCCAAGTCCGTGATTTTTGGAGGGTTACGCCTCTTTGCATTTGGTGGTGTTTATGGCTTGAATGAAATAGGAGGTCGTTCGAAGGAAAGGAGACTCCTACGGGGGAGTTCAAAATTTCTATTATTAGCACTCTTCTTTGTTGGGTTATAGGGAGATATTGTAAATCCATGGAGGAGATAGTTAATTTTTTGGACTCTCTGAGAGTTTAGCGGCCCTTTTAGGCCTTGTGTATTTTCTGAGGGATGGGTTCCCCTTTTGAATGCTTCATTATACAATCTTTACTTATCAAAAAAAAAAGAAAAAAGTAGGTAGTAAGCCAAGCTATGTTTAGGTCACTAAATGAGTTGTATGAAAAACTAGGCACAACAAAGGGGGGAAAATATTTATAAACTAGCAAAGAATCGAGATAGGTCAACTAAAGAACTAAATCAAATTAGATGTATTTAGAACATAGATAACAAAATATTAATCTTGAAATTGATATATTAAATGGATGGAAAGATTGTTTTCTACTCTTATTAAATGAGGAGTACCCTATAGAAGAGGTGGAAAGAAATGACTTCAACATAGGAGTGATGAATAAAATCTCCAACGAGGAGGTAGAGAACACACTAAAACAAGGCATGATGCCAAATTAGTGGAGAAAGTACCATAGTAGCTTGGTGTACGTTAGGAAAAGTAGGAATTGAATGGCTAACAAAGTTGTTAAACGACATCCTAATGCTTCATTCGGTAGTAAGGAAGGAAGAGGCATGGAGGGAGGATACGAAGGAAGGAACAAGCATTTTTTCGTTCAGTAGAGAGCAGGCAAGAGAGAGAGGATAATATGATGGATTAGCCTTTCTTCCTCGTCCACAAATTTTCATCCCTCCAAATATGGACAGAAGAGAGGTGGGAAGACAAGTGGGGCTATTATAAAAGTTTTAAATTACAATATTATGCTTCTTAAATTACATGACGGTATAATGGTAAAAATAATTTAACACTCTCTCTTCCATCCTCTCTTAACAAATACTGTAAGTTGTCAGTTTGTTCTCTTCTCTTCCATCCAACTGAACAAAAAGAGGAAATAATAGAATCTCTTCTCTAAGGATGTCTCATCCATTGCTTCTTCTCTACCTTCCAGCCAAAATTTTTCTTTCCTACCGAACAAAGCATAAAACAATTAATAGGTAAAAATCAAGTTTGGTTTGGTTTTTTGTTCTTTGTCATGCGATCTTTCTTGGAGGTAGCTAGATAGCCTCGGTTGTTCCAAGGTGGATCTGCTAGATCTGCAAATCTGTATAGAGGCCCATCGATTTTCCTGGATGATGATTCGGTACGAAGAAGAAGAGAAGATCTTCGATCGTGTCTGGTTGGGAAATTTGATAAGGAAGTAGGTGACGGGGCTCAGATTGCAGCTTGGGCCGAGCGTACTTGGAAGATCTCCGTAGGAGTGACGGTCTCAACTCTGCCGGATTCTTTGTTGCTTTTCCTGTTTCCCTCATCGACGGAAGCCTCTCCTGTTCTTAAAGGGGGTCGCCGTGACTGGGGTACGGCATCTCTTTGTTTGGAGGCTTGGAGCTTTAGGGTTGGGTGCTCGGAAGTGTTGAAAGAGAAGGGGCTGAAGAAGGTGACGCTGTATGGTCTTCCTCTCCATCTCTGGTGTCATGCTTTGTTCGTGACAGTTGGTGATCTTTGTGGTGGGTTTATTTGGGTGGAAGCTGATGAAGCTTTGGACGCTGAAAGAGTCCGTATTACACTCGCTGATGGTCGGGTTTGCCCTCCGTTTGTGTTCATTCACGATGATCAGTTTTGCTATAAGGTGTTTATTTGGGAGGAGAAGCCTCCTGAGCTTATTCCAACGACAGATAGCTTGGAAGGGGGTGATGGTTCGCACTTGCTTAAGGAGAAAGAATGGCTGCGGTGGGAATCCATGGGGAAAAAAGGAATGGCAGAATTCCAGGTATGGAAAGAATGGAGGGATACACTTTGGATTCGTAATTCGGAGTGCTTTAAACGGATCTTCAATCAGAAGCGGAAGGAAGGGCTTCCTTTTTTGCAGAATCGCCATCGGAATGGTGGGCTTCGAATGATGTAGTGGGGCGGAGGTTTCGCCGGATTTGGTCATCGGACTTTTGTGCAGCAACGGGATCAATCAAGACGAAGAGGTGGTTTCCCCGCATATCAGGCGCGTGGGGGAGAGAGGTTTTCAGAGCGTCCACGTGGTTGGCGCTTAGGATTTGTCCGTTCCCAATGGAGACCAGCTGTCCCCATGGTCAATTCAAATTTCACTTCAGATTTGGCTTCCCATTCAGTTGGGCCTGTTGGAAGGCTTGGTGTCGAGGCTACTACCTCTTGCAATGGTGGGCCTAAGTTTGTTGGGCCGCTTGTTGGGCCTGAAAGGCCTATTTCAGTTTCTAAGAGACCTAGTTCTGTTTCTTTGGGATCTGAATGTGATGTGCAAGTTCCTTGTGCTGTGCGAGCGTCCAGTCTTCTAAAGAAGTTAATGTTGACGGGTCTGCGGGATTAAAAGGTGGGCCGAGTTGTGGATCTGGGCCGGTGTCTAACAGGTTTGAGCCCTTGCCCTCCTTGCGAGATGATAGAGCTCCTTGTGTTGCTGGGTCGATGAAAACGAGAACGAATGTTGATTGGCGAGTGAAGGTTCCGGTCCTGAGACGTCGGTTGCCGCAGAAAAAGGTGATCCTTCCCGCTTTTCGTAAGAAATGGTCACGAAAGGATAAGCAAAAATGGGTGGTATCTTCGCAATCCGGTTTTGAATCGGGTATGTTTTCAGTTCCTTCTGGTTCTTCTCCTATTAAACCGTGTTTCTCTTCTTCTTCTTCTCCTTTTTTGGGGGAGTCGACAATGTCTTTGGAACGGGTGAAGGGTGGGACAGCTTCTGCTTCGTTCTCTAAAGAATCGGAGGGTGAGAGGGACTCCGTTCTTGTGGACAGACAGGATGGTGATTCTGGGTTTAGACTTGGTTTCTCTCGGCGAGGTGAAGGTTTCGTGCGGGGAGTTACAGTTTGTGTTGGTTGGGATGTGAAGGTGAAGCTTGATGATGATACGGCTGCCTTTCTGTTGAAGGAGATACGGGACCATTTGGCGTCGAAAGGCTTTCTTGGTGATTAAGGAGGAGTTTTGACAGAGGAGGAGCCTGTTTCACAGTTTTGCTCGCATTCCTCTTCTGTTCTTGATGATTGGGAGGGAGCTGCAGGTTCTTCTTTGGATGGTGACTCGGGCATGATTCCATGGGAAGACTTGGAACAAGCAGTGAATTTGGCTGTTCCTTTGGCTGTTGTTCCGCCTGGGGGTAATTGGGTTAGCAACTCGAATGTTGTCGGAGTGAATGATCTTGAGGAGGAGTGGGTAAGGGAGAAGGGATTGGAAGTGGGTCCTTTGTTGGGGGTTTCTTTTGAGGGTAGAGTGGATGAGGCATTGTGTTTGTTTAATGATGTCCTCAAATCTCATTTTCAGGAAAAAGCAGGTGGTAAGATAAGGTTGCAGGAGGAGAGAGGGGAGACAGTGATGCAAAGCCCCAATGATTTTATCACGTATGAAAGGAGAAATAGGGGGTCCAGATTAGGAGGGAGAGGTGGTGGAGGGAAGGGAGGGTTTGCTTTCTAAAGTGTTTCCCTATGAAGTTACAAATTCTTTCATGGAATGTTCGGGTCTCAATGATCCGGTTAGGAGGAAAGTGGTGAAGTCGGTTATTCGTAAAGGTCGGGGTCATGTGGTATGTCTCCAAGAGACCAAACTTTCTTTGATGTCTGATAGGATTGTGAGGAGTCTTTGGGGTGGGAGATTTGTGGAGTGGATTGCTTTGGATGCTATTGGTTCCTCGGGGGGCATCTTGATCATGTGGGATAACAGAGAGGTGTCTAAAGTGGAGGCTCAGGTGGGGCGCTTCTCTGTTTCTTGTGTTCTTGCTTTGGTTGAGGATGGTTTTAATTGGGTCTTTTCGGGTGTTTATGGTCCTTTGGAGGATGGCGTGCACCACTTGCTTTGGGAGGAGTTGGGGGAGATTAGAAGTCGATGGTGTTTGCCTTGGTGTATTGGTGGGGACTTCAATGTGGTTCGCTCTCCTTTTGAGAGGTCATCGGGTGGTAGGTGGACGTCTGATATGGTGGCTTTCTTGGAGTTTATTGATGAATTCGGTTTGGTTGATTTGCCTTTGGTTGGAAGGCCGTTTACT